GACACTCAATAAACATATTAAGCAAGTGGAAAATATCGAACAAGAGGACTGTAGTAGGATCCTCCCCTGCTTTCCTTGCCTTAATCATGTTGACAGCCAGAAGACAATCCATTTTTAGCGTTAAGTGAGAAATACCCAAATCAAAGGCTAATTGCAAACCTGCATGACAGCCCCAAAGCTCAGGTGAGTAACTTGATTGAGGGTCGATATTCAAAGTAAACCCATGTATCCATCATCCCCCATGATCTCGAATGAGACCACCTGCACTAGCTTTCCTAGTGGAAAGATTCCTAGCCCCATCAGTATTTAGTTTAAGAAAGGGATAGTCCGACGGGTGCCATCTCACCCATCTAGGAACACGATCAGGAGTTAGAATGGTGGAACCAAGAACCATTTTTGTGTCAACAGCCAAGCGACAAACTTGTTGGTGCAGGATGTAAGAAGATGACCTTATACCATCAACAATCAATGCATTCCTACTCTTCCAAATAATCTAAATAGTAGCCAAAAAAAAAAAGATGTTCCAAGTAGTCATCAACACTCTAGCAGGGCGTGTACTCTCTGCATTTGTCCTGAGCCAATCATCCATTTCTAGTAAGTAAAAATTAGTTGGAAGAGCACTGGAAGCATCCTAAACCAACCAAGAGAAATAGTAGTCCCACAATAGACGTAAAGGAGTTTCAACACCATCCTCACATCTTGGACAAATAGGGTGGCGACAAAGTGTTGAGCAAAATGTATGGAGTTTGTGAGCACGTGGCCTCTACAAAGAAGCCAAACAGATATTTTGATCCTTTCCAAACACTGCAGCTTCTAGATCCAACACTAGCTACCCGTTTGTTGTACAAAACCAATGTGCCATTGTTGCAATAATAAGAAAGTAGATTTGACAAAAAAAAAAAAATGCCATTTGGTGATCCATTCTAAAACACCCTATCCTCCTATCCATCAAAAGTTGGAATTGGAGTGGCTAATACTTTCTCAACTATAGTCTCAGGAAGAAGCTGTCTTAGAAGAGAAGTGTTCTAAGTATGCTCTTGAGTAATTACAAAGGAGACAGGAGTATACGACTACATAGGCAAAATTCCAGTTAAAGCATCCTCCAATAATGGCCAATCACGTATCCATATATCCTTCCATAGTTTGATTTTTTGTCCAAAGCCCACACTCCATCGCAAGCCAGAATGCAGCACTGCTCGACACCTCAGTATGCTTTTCCAAGTTGATGAAGCTGATGGATTAAAAGGATAGTGAACTAGGCTTATATTCTATAGAAGCTTGACACCAAGGCTTATTTGGTTCCATAATCAATTGCCATCCTAACTTGCTAATTAAGGCTTAGTTTTGTTCTTTTGCTAACCGAAGGCCTAAACCCCAATAATCACAAGGTAAACATACAATGCTCCAATGGACTTAATGTGGCTTACTTGTAACATCAAAGCCCCAAAGGAACCCCCTATTCATTTGATCAATATCCACACAAACATTACTTGGTAACAGACTAGACTACATCGTATAAGCCGGAATAGAAGAAGTAACACACTACATTAGAATTTTTCTCCCGGCCATGCCTAATAGTTTTTGTTTCTAGCCTATTAACTTTAACTAAATTTTCTCAATCAAGTGCTTATAGGTAGAAGCCCTTGGACAGTCCTGGAGAATAGGGACCCCTAAATAGATGCCCAAATCTGAAGTTAGAGGGATACCACAAGCTTCGCTCCAAGAACTTGCAACTCGATTCTAGATATTGGGTGAGACATATATCTTAGATAGATTGATTTCAAGACCTAATTTCCTAGAAAATTCAGTAAGATAGTCCATAACAATTTGTACTTGGGATTGGGATGCATCACAAAAAAGCATAAGATCATTTGCAAAAAATAAATGTGATAAAGTCAGCCCCTTTTGAGAAATTCTGAATGGTTTCCATGACTTAGCTTGCACTCTACTCTAGATCATGTGAGATAGCTTTTCCATAAGCATAATGAACAAGTATGGAGAAAGAGGATCACCTTGGCACAAGCCCCTTTGTGGTTGGAAAGATGGTAACTCCTCCCCATTCCAAAGAATTGATAATTGCAAAGAAGACACTGAAAACATAATCAAGAGAATCAAAGGAGTTGGGATATTGAAATCAACTAAGACTGAACAAAGGAAATTCCAATCAACACTATCAAAAGCCTTATGAAGGTCTATGGCACCTAAGGGTATTCGCAGTGTGGCTTGGTTTGGATTTTATTATTTTTTGAAACCAATCCAATTTAATTGGTTAATAAAATGTTTAAACCAATCTAATCCATTATTATGTGATAACCAAACCAATCCAATTTAAATCATATTGGTGTGGTTCAGTCGGATTAATCGGTTTTTAATATTATTAAGTATATAAGATAATGTAAAAATATTTTAACATCAAATAGAATGTATAACTATAAAATACATTAACATCCAAATCAGTAAAAACATAATAATAGGTAAAAATTATAAACAAATTCTTATACTTCTTTACATTTGTAAAAATTGAAAAGTTTTGAAAATTCTTCTTTGTTACATCACTAGAGGCACCAAAACAATATAAATAACTTCAAATTTCTAGCAACGTAAATAATTCTTGAAGATTAAAATTAGTTTTTTTTAATGCATTAATAATTTAATCTCATTTTCTAAATCCTATTAAAAGTGAATGACATTTAACATGAATATTACTAAAATTGATTAGAAGCATTCATAATCAAATTTAAAACTTCTAAACCAAATATCCAAGAATAGTAGAATATTAAGACTAATTTTATTATATAATTTTAAGGCTTTTAGAATGATACTTATTTAAAATTTAGTTAGGAGAATCATAAGAAGATTTTAAGAATAATTTAGAAATTTAGGGTTCTAAGAGTAAAGGCGCAAATCAATTCTGAGATGATAGAGTTGCAAGTGAATTAGAAATTTAGAATTAAGGTTAGAGTGCATGATTAAAATAGAGAAATGACTTAGGGAATATGGAAATCTTCTATTTTTATTTTTTTTTAATTAAGTTAATGGAGTTATAATCTTGTAAAATTAAAAAAAAAATTAAAATACTACAAAAATATGTTATATTATTTAATTAAATTATCTTCTAATCGGATTTTATTTTGTAATCGAGCGGTTTGAAAGTAAAACCACGAACCAAACCAATTGTATCAGTTTTAAAATTTTAGAATTCAAACCAATCCAATTTTATATTGGTTTGGATCGATTTTTGATTGGATTGGATCAGTTTAGGTCAGATCAATTGAATTGGATCGGATATGAACACCCCTAATGGCACCTTTCTTTCCTTTCTTCTTGCGCATGGACTGCATAGCTTCTTGAGTAAGGATAATATTATCTGTAGTGCTCTTACCCGCCAAGAAACTGTTTTGGAAAGAACCTATTAGGTGCTGTAAAAAAGGCCTTAGTCGATTAACAACTTTGGAAAGCACTTTATAAGCAACATTAAGCAGACAAAGGGGACGAAATTTTTAAATAACATTTGGATTCTTTCCTTTTGGAATGAGAATAATATAAGCCTTTAATAGAGAATGCTCAAAGCAACCACCTTTTAAGACCTTATTGACAAAGGAGTGTAGAGTTCCTAAAACCGCTTCTTAGTGCCTTTGGTAGAAAATAGGTTGAATACCGTTAGGCCCTAGACTTTTAAGTCCTTTCATGGAAAAAAAAGCCACCCGAATTTCATCTAAGGATATTGGTTGTAAAAGAGAAATACCTTTTTCCTTAGAGAGGCATGGTTGGTAAGTAGAGTAATCTCTAAGGGAGAAATAAGTGTCCCTCCTCATGAATAGCTGTATAAAGAAATCCTGTATATGTTGTTTTAAAATATTAGGCTCTGTCAACCACTCATCAATAACCTTCAAAGTGGTAATTTGATTCTTACTTCGACGGACTATGGTTGAAGCATGATAAAATCTTGTATTCCTATCCCTGGATGCAATCCACTCTACACATGATTTCTGGCACCAAAATAATTCTTCAGCATGTAGCACCTAATGGCACTCTTTCAATAGATCAGTTTCCAAATTCTATAGGAAGCTTGAGCTAGCGTAATGTATAGAGTTTTGAATACCTTCTAATTGACCTTTTAACTATCTCTTACAGTGAAACAGATTACCAAACAGCTCTTGGTTCCATTGAAGGTAAGTCTTTTGAATAGACTAAATGGCATTTGTTAGGGAGGAACCATATAGCAACCACACCTGGGTGAAAACAAATTTAAAGGCTTAATAAGTCAACCAAGTTACTTCAAACTGAATGGCTTAGCATGTAAGTCTATTGGGGCTGGCTCGATTAGACAAAGCAAGATAGGATGATGATCACTATAAAGATGAGGCAAATTAATCACTTTAGCATCTAGACAAGATTCAAGTGCCACAAAGTTGAAGAGAGCCCTATCCAGTCTCTCTCATAAAAGCACTCTTCCATTTTGATTTCATAACCAAGTATATTTGCACCCTAAAGGTTTTGTGGAGAGCAGACCACACCTTGCTACTCTATCCCTAAAATGTTGTGCTCTTGCAAATCCCCTAGTTGCTCTAGGCGAGGCTTCTTCGATAGTGAGTATATCATTAAAATCACCCATGACCACCCAACTTCCAGAAATGCCTCTTGAAAGATTCTCTAACTTAGACCAAAAGAATCTTTTTTAGCAACTTGTGGCTGCACATAAACCAAAGTGGCCATACAGCTAACTTCTTATTGAGATATAGAACAATGAATAAATTGGGAGGAGTTACTCAAAATATCCAAACTAATTATGGAGGAATGCCAAAATAACCAGAGGCTTCGGCCATTTCCTATGACAAAATTTGATGCTCTTTGTCAAAACCAAAACGTCATAGGAACTTTAAAGCATCTATAGCTAAATTTGACTTTGTTTCAAGGAAGCATATAACATCAGGGCGGTGCATTTTGAGGAATTCTCGACACTCCCTTTTGAAATGGATATACTTCACTCCCCTACTATTCCAAGTCACAATTTTCATTGAGAAGAGGTAGAAGGTATGGTGGCTATATTGGGAACTACAGCCATGGGAATCAATTGGCCAGCCAACGACAATATTAAACCTAACATGGAGGAAGAGGCAATATGTGATGGAGGTGAGGTTGTTATGATTGGAGGTAAGGCTTGTGGCGGATTCATGGAGTGAGGTATGGGTGGCGTAGGTGGTTACATGGGTAGCTTATCTTGGCCACTAGACACAGGAGGAGCGGTCGTTGAGGCGGATTGGATTGAAGGCAACATCATTGGTGTGGGATTGCCCTACTTCTTGGGGGTTGAGGGCAAATCATATGGTTTCTAAGAACTAAGTTTAGTTTCTTTAACAATAGGGCCAAGAGACTTGCTTTTCTTTTTAGAAGGCTTGGATTTTTGTTTAACGAATGCGGTAGACATGACTGGAGGAGGAATGGGTACTTGTGCAATGGGTTGGTCTAAGGTAACTTGGGCTAAAGCTGGCAAAAGTTCACTTGGGTCTGGGGAGTTGCCGGAGTCCATAAGAAAAACAACATTTTTTGAAATTTTTTAATCACCCACCAATGATGCTTCATTTCCTTTTTTTTAGAACCCAATAGATCAACATCCTCATCCATCAGTTTTGTAATCACCTCAAAGCGATTTTGCTGCGTGGATTTCGGCTCGTTATTTTATCATGCCCTTATACTACCCCAGATTTAGCCTTGATTGTCGGGGTTAAGGCTAGAGCATGCGAAGGATTAGGAGATTGGATAGCACATGAGCTAGTTACCGGACCTTGGTTTTGGGCCACCAAACTTCACCGCCATGGCTTACGTTGCTGAACCATCTATGGACCAAAAACCATGTGATTATTTGACAAGTTTGGCTTCAAGGCATGTGTGAGTTCAATCATGGTTTGGGCATTAGGATTGCCCAATGGAGGACGTTGCCCTAGGTTCTTAAACCGACAAGTCTCCTCATGTGCCCAAATTCACCACAGTGGAAGCAGATCTTATGCAGACCCTCATATTCAACCATAATTAAAGATTGTGGCAACTCTTCCAAATCGAAATCCACTAAAGATGACAACTATTGGCTAAGATCCACCTCTATACAAACACGAGCAAATTTTTCTCTAGTTCCTAGGAGAGTTGTGCTATGAATTTTTATAGGCTTACCCAACTTACTACCAAGATACAAAACAATGGCTTTCTGATAGCACATTGATGGCACCCCATGTAATTTCACCCAGACTGTTGTCTTCGGTGCTTTGGCTTTTGCTGGTTGAAAACCAGGTTCCCACAGTTGAACAACAAGCCAATGATTGAAAAACTTATACGGCCCCCCAGTTAAAACCATGGAAAAGACTTTCGGGGTTGCAAACCTCACAATGAAATAGCCTATACCAATGTCAATGACCTCAAACTCATGCTCCATTTGCCATTCCTTGAGAAGACAAGCATGGAGAACATGAAAATTAATATATTTGCCTAAAAGCTTAATGATTATTGCATTCTTCCACGAAGCACATAGATGTTGCCAAATTGCCTTTGGAATTTTCACTTTTGGCACCTTCGCCTTCATTGGGTTATAGTCATCCTCAATTGTCATAAGAGATTCCTGTGCGAGGTTTGTTGCCTTCAACTCCTCATATGCTACTAGTGGAGGATGTTTTTGTGCAGAACCATCGATGAAGGTGTCATGGAATTATTTTGACAAATCAGTATTGGTCAAAACATGAGTTGGGCTTGTGGTGGCAAGATGTTGATTTAGGGAGGACATATAAGCAATTAGCGGCTCCTTAGGGATGGCAGCAACAATGTCAGGAGAAGTAGGAGGTGGTGAAAGATAAGACACTGGTTGCGAGGGGTCGAGGGGATAGGGGGGAGGGTTTTGTCATGAGTAGATTCTCTCTCTTTTCACTCAATTCCATAGAGGCTTTGTTAAAAGGATTCTAAACTTTTCTTATAAGAAGATATTTGTTTACCAATATATTCAAATCTCGAGGTCTTACTATTATATTACGAGGGGCTTCTTGATAATGGACTAGGCCCTTTTTATCTAATGACTAGTGTTTTGTAGTTTGAATTATGAAACATGAAATTCTTATATTATTACAAAGTAAAATCAGATTTTGTAGTATGGACTACATTGGATTGGAAGACACTACCATCATCATATGAATGGGGCTCCTTAACTATAGGGTCAAGCTTATTGCTTTGCAATTTAAAATATAAAATATAAGAACTACTAAAAAGTGGCTATAGTTAAGGTCACTATTAAATTTATTAAGGCCACTAAAATGGTCAAATTTTTATATTAATTCGATTATTAAAAATAATTAATAACTAATAAAATAATTAGTATTTATTATTTAACATATTAAAATTAATTTATAAACAAATATTTTTAAAATATTATAACCAATTGTTTAAGAAAAATCTATAAATTAATAAAATTACAATTAAAATTAGTGGTTTTAACAAAATTATTGGTGGCAATAACCTTAGCCCTAAAAAATGTGATTACCATTGGAAACAAAAATTTGATTTAGGGGTTGTTTGATATAATAGTTTGAAATTAACAATTAATGATTTTATCTAATCTAATGACTAGAATAGTTTAATTATTATTAATAATAATTATTAACTCTCAAATTAAACAAAACTACTAACTTTTAATTTCAAACCGCTATACTAAGGCCCCGTTTGGTATAGCAGTTTTGAAATAGCGGTTAGCGGTTTTACCTAAACTGCTAAATATAAGTGTTTGGTAAATTTATATATTTCAAAACCGCTACAACTAAATTGTTTGGTAAAATTTTTATTTAGCGGTTTGAGACTAGCGGATAGCGGTTATGGTCCAAATCGCTAGCGGATTGAAAAAGTTAGTTTATGTAACTTTTTGTACCAAACCGCTAGCGGATTAGAATTTTTTTAATTTTATTGACAAATTTATCCATTTTAATTTTTTAATTTTTGGTCACATTTTTTAATTAATAATTATTTAATAAATTTCAGTTTTGTTTTTTTACCTTTAATAACATTAAGTGATTATAATATTTTTTGTATATTAATTTATAATTAAAAA